TTTTATGTGTATGAGTGTATTGCCTGTATGTATGTGAGTGCACCCGTGTCATGCAATGTTGCAGAGGTCAGAAGAGGGCTTTGGATTCCCCTGGAACTGGAGTTAAGGACGGTTCGTAGCCATCATGTGGGTGCTGGGAATTGAACCCGGGTCCTCTACTGCTCTTAACCACTGAGCCATCTCTCCAGGCCCTAAATTTTATTTTTAAATTATGTGAATGCTTGTGTCTTTGTGTGGGCATGTGCATGAGACGCCCATGAAAATCAAATCCAAACACAGCTTTGGATCCCCTTGAGCTGGAGTACTAGAAACTGAACTTGGGTCCTCTGAAAGAGCAGCACATCCTCTTAACTGCTAAGCCATCTCTCTCAGCCCCCATTAAAAAAATTTTTTTTTCAGACAGGGTCTCTCACTGAACCTAGAATTCACCAATTTGTCTATACCTGGGTAGCCAGAGAACTCTAGGATCCACCTGTGTCTGCCTCCCACACTTTACTGACTGAGCCATATTCCCAGCCCTTTAAAACATTATTTATTGATTTAAATTTTTTAAATTTATGTGTATGAGTGTACTGCCTGCATGTATGCAAGTGCACATGCACCTGTGTTGTACAATGTCCACAGAGGTCAGAAGAGGGCATCAGATCCCCCAGAACTGGAGTTCTGGGTTGTGAGCTGCCACATGGGTGCTGGGAATTGAACCTGGGTCCTCTCACTATGTAGCCCTGGCTGGCTTGGAATTCCCTATGTAGACCAGGCTGGCCTCAAACTCACAGAGAACCTCAGCAAACCTGGAACTAAAGATGTATGCCACCACACCTGGCCTTGTAGTTTGTTGTTTTTTCATTTTTTTGAGACAAAGTCTCACTAAGGCAGTTGTGATTATTTATTTATTTATTTATTTATTTATTTATTTATTTATTTATTTATTTATTTATTTATTTTCTTTTTGAGACAGGGTCTCCCTGTAGCCGCAGCTGGCATGAACTTGCTATGTAGACCAGGCTGGCCTCTATTTCAGAGATCTTCCTGCCTCTGTCTCCTGAATGCTAGGATTAAAGGTGTGAGCCACCACACTGGTGAGACAGCTGTGATTTGAAGGCTGGCTTCTGCTACAGAGCTGAGCACAGATTAGGGAGGACACAGGAAGCCAATTAGAAGCAGGTGAAGTAAGAGAGAAGTGGCTGGGTTTGGATGTCTAAGCTGAAGCTGGCATTAAGGGTGAGATGTGAAGAGTATTTCTGCAGAAGGAAGGAGTGGATGCAGGTAGCAAGAGGTTGAAGGGGCATGAGCAGGGTCTCCCATGAGATAAATAGCAGAGTCACAGCTGAGAGGTTAGGGGAGCTGTCAGAGGGCAGGAAGGGACCCCATAGCAAGGGAGCAGCAGAGTAGGAGTGTGAGGTGTGTAGCAATTATGGGATTTAACTAGAAGTAAGGTTTTAAAGGCAAGAGATAAATTGAGGGCAAGTATAAGAGGGTGGCTGGAAGAGGCCACAGTATGACAGGAGTTCAAGGAGAGACGTGGGGTTGAGGAAGGAAAGTGAAGAGGGCCCTGCATAGCGAGACTTGGACTGGAACTTCCTCATAGCCAGCAAGCCTGTGCAGACAAGGCTTAGCTTTTCCTAGACTTAGTTTAGGATCCATCAGATACACCAAACCATACTTGGCTATGACAGAAGGAAATGATTTCTTTGGACTTTTACTTCACTATTGACCCCTGGAGAGCTGGCATGGGGCCAGCCCCACCCGTGTCTAGCCAGCTGTCTCTCAACTGGCACCAGCATGATCTGTGTCTTGTGCCATACCAACACAGCATACATTCTGCCTGTCCTCCTGTATGCACTCTTACCCCCTGAGTTAGAACACAGCCTTTATAGGTCTGGGAGTAGTGGCTCTGTTGGATTTTGTTTGTTTTTGTTTTTTAATTTGTTCCTTTGGTCTTTTTTGAGATGGCCTTGCTGTATAGTTCTGGCTTTACTGGAGCTAACTATATAGATCACACTGACCTTGAACCTGTAGCATATCTTCCTCTCTGCCTCCCAAGTGCTGGGACTACAGGCTTGTGCCACCATACCGCACTCTTTTATACCTGTTTTCTATTTGTCTTTGCTCCTCCCAATTTGCTTTCTTCCCTAGAGTGATTTCACTGAAAATATAGATCGTATCATTCTCCTGCTATCTTTCAGTGGCTTCAAACTGGAGTCCATACAACTCAATCTCCTGACCTTAGCCTATAAGACACATGACAGACTCTGCCTACCTGTACTCTCCATCCACTTCTGTGATCTATGGTAACCTCCATGGCCCTGAAGCATACCATAGCTGGTCCCATCTAAAGGATGTTTGCCTAGGCTCTTGCTCTGCCTGCCACACACCTTCTACAGGGCTCCCAGCACAGCACAGGCAGAGATGTGCTTAAAAAATTTCTTTTGACTTTTTTTTTTTGGGGGGGGTCTTTTTGAGACAGGGTCTCTCTGTAGCCCCAGCTGTTCTGGAACTCACTATGTAGACCAGGCTGGCCTTGAACTCACAGTGATCTGCCTGCCTCTGCTTTCCCAGTGCTGGGATTAAAGGCATGCATGCCCCACCATGCTCGGCTTTGACTCATTTTTTATTTTATTTGTATCTGTTTTGCCTACATGCAATGCCCATGGAGGTCAAAAGAGGGTGTTAAATCCCCTGGAACTGGGGTTAAGGATGGTTATTAGCCACCATGTAGGTGCTGGGAATTGAACCTGGGTCCTCTGCAAGAACAGACAGTACTCTTAACTGCCAAACCATCTCTCCAGCCCCTAAGATGTATTTTTTATGCCACTCTATAACTTGGGTGTAGCTAGCCTTCAGCCCTCTAACACACAGGACAGTCTCACCTAGTGAGCAAAGGGCCTTCCAAAGTCTACTTGGCTCTTACTGGGGACCACATGCCCTGAGTGGCCCTGCATGCCTCTCCTCTCTCTCTGATCTTCAGAGTGTGACTATGGCGCAGGTCACCTGTGCCATCTGAAGGTTTCTGTCTCTACCTCCAAAGTGAGACCCATGAGATAGCCTTCACCAATAGCAAGTCCTTAGTGTGGACAGGGGATATCTGCTGACTGACCAACAAGCCAAGAAATAAAGGAATAGTGTCTGAAGAGGACAGCAACAACAATCTTGGCACAATGCACAGATGAGGTATGACATGCATTCAGAAGTCAGTCTCCCCTGAATTGCTTTTAATCACTAATCTAAAGAAGACGTGTGTATCCTCTACCCTGTGCTAGGACAGACCCCCAGATCCAGTGGTTCTGAATGAACCCCACATGGGTTTTCTGGGTTCTGGGAGCAGAGTCTCCCTGGGCCATGGGAAGAGAAGCCAGTGGAGAAAGGGAAAGAGGCTGCACTCACCTGTTCTTTTAGCTCCTGAACCTTCTCCCGTAGCAGCCACTCGACATTGCACAGCCGTGCTTCAGCCTCCTCTACCTGCTCATCCCTGTTCTGCAGCTGTTGCTTGTATTCTTCCTGTATGTAGGTTACATACCAGTGTTTATACTCACAAAGGTGCCTCTGGGCTTGTTTAAAGTAGAAACTGTCTAAGGTAAAGTGGTTTGACTATGATGGTGTGACCTAAAGACAGACTGACTTTGGGAGGACCTGTGGGCCCTGGCTAGAGGGGCCTTCAGGATTGGCTGCTTTCTGTTCTGCAACTGTGCTCACCTTGTCCCTGGTCTACCCTCAGCATCTTCTAGATATCCATGCTGTCCCAGCTTCCTTGTTCTTAGTGTCCTCTCCCAAGTAGCCAGCCAGAACAGCACATCCCCTTCTCACCTGCTGTGCATCTAGTTGCCACCTCGCTTCTTCCTCCTTGAGGCTAAGCAGGTGTTGCAGCTGGCTCATCTGCTCCCGTAGGTGCTGGATGATCTGGCCATGCTGAGACTGTGTTGCATCCAGCCTCAGGTGGACACTGTGCAGCTGCAAGAAGGATGAGTTTTGGCATGATTGACAGAAGCAGAGTCATTAGCAGACACAGGGAAAAGTGCTAGTGCATTATTCTCTGTGTTGAGGCCACCCCAATGAGAGGATGAAGGGCCCACTCCTGGTCCTGGGAGCCCTGCCTGTGTGTACAGCAATCCTTAGAGATTCAGAACCTAGCTCCCACATCGCCATCCAACAGGCCAGGGAAAGCTTGTGTATGGCAACCTGAGAACACGTGTTCTGATCTGTGATGCTGGATGCACAGCAGGATCGAGTTCTGTTCTGTTCAGTGTCCCATGCACACACAGTCTGTTCATGGGACCAAAGTAAAGTACAACTCATGTTGGCCTCTCTAGGTAATTCTCCTTTATGTGCGGAGTTGACAGTTATGAAACTTGGTGATGGCTCAGGTCGTAGAATATGATTAACATAAAGGGTATTGAGGGGTTTAGGGGCAGGAATGGAACTGACAGCAGCACGGAGTCCCCCACCATGCAGCAGACTAAAACTACAGAGCCCAACATGGTTGTAAGCAGTTATTACTATTAAACTAGGCAAAACTGAGCCAATTCCTTTGATCAAGCAAGTAGAGGTAATATTTAAATATAAGTTCAATCAATCTGATGCTGGATGCTTCATCTGAAACACACAGGACTTTCTTTGTAGCTTGATAGAACTAGCTGCCTCATTCTACTTTTGAGGCCCCTCGGACAGGAGCAGGAGATCCTATTTGTGACAAGGCTGATGTGACTATGTTATAAACAGGAAATGAAGGCCCCTTGGACTGGTGAGTACCTGGCCCAGCTATGGAGCATCTGGCTGGCCCAGTAACCTCTCTGGGCTGGACGAGTCATAGCAATGCTGTCAGATCACTGTTAACACTTCTTGTGGCCTGGGAGTAGACCAGGTGCTTCCAACCACCTCCCCTACCCACCTGGTCTCGACTTTCTTCAAGGCTTTCTGTCAGCTCTGACTCTGACAGTTGTAAGTGTTGGCATTCCTCATTCACATGTTTAAGTTCAACTTCAAGTTTTTGGATTTTATCACCCTATTTATAAAAAATCATTTTCACAGTTACAAGCAACCTGACACAGAAATGGAAACCAGAAAATACCAAAGAAAAAAAAACCTGCAAAATTTTAATATCCTCTGAGCCTGTAAGCCCCAGCCCACACCTAATTCTTTTACTTTGTCTTCTCCACAAGTGTACATCTCTCATGAGCTAGATTCAGAAAGCATACCATGTCCTGCAGTGCTGTCTTCCTTACTGGACCAAGAAATTTCCCAGCCACTGTTATTCGAACTTAGAGTCTAATGTCTGTATCATCATTTACTCAGTTCACCTGCTGTTGATGATGCAAATCGATTACAGTTCTGTTTTGCTACTACAGAGAGTACATCAATAAAAATACTTCCAGCTAAATCTATAATGCTCTTAGCATAGTTCTCACAGGCAAAATTATAAAACTGAAGTACATGGACACTACTAAAGCTCCTGATTTATATTATACTCTGGGAGAGCTGCACCAATTCACTATCCCATGATCAGATTTAAAACAGTTCTGCTACCTTGTCTAGATCCTACCAAGGCTGCTCAAGTTCACCCACTTATCCAGGGCTTTCCTGAAAGCCCTTTACTTCTTTATCACTGGGGGGTGCCCATTGGCCTGCTGCTGATCCTCCACCACCCAATGGCCCCTCTGGCCAACCAGCCCCCAAGGTTTGTGGCGCAGCCAGGCCCCAACCTGTTGTTCCTCCCGGCACCTTGCCGTCTCCAGCCTCTCCATCAACAATTGGATGGCAATGTGATTTTTCTCCTTCTGGGCCTGGTGAACAGAAGTGTCCCCAACCAGCTGAAGGATCCTGCAGCTGAGCTGTGACAATTCATTCTTGTACTTCTGAGTCTATCGCAAAAGGAGTTAAAACAGATTTTTTTAAAAAGTGCTTTTAAACAGCAGCTCAATTCAGATCCTTTCTAAGGTTCCCCTATCAAGGATGGCCTTTCTCCTTGGGAGCATCTGGCAACTCTTAAGAGACGTTTTTAGGCTGTTGATGCTGAGCAAGAGGAAGGTGCTGATCAAGTGGGCAGAGGCACCAGACCTGTACACAGAGGACAGAGGACAATGCAGCCTCAGTCATCAGTAGTGTTGAGAATCAGAAGCCCTGCTCTGTTCTAGAAGACAAGAGACAACCCAGGCCACCAGAGGCAGTCACTAAACTATTCCTCTGAATGTCTTAACTTTCTCATTCCCTCCAAGATGATTTCTAAAATATATTAAAACAATTTAAAATTAATTAAATAGGGCTGAGGAGATGGCTCATTGGGTAAAATGCTTTCTGTGTAAGCATGAGGCCTTATTTTGGATCCCTAGCATCCATGTAAAAGACAGACATGGCCATGCATAGCTGTAATTACAGCAGTGGGGGATGAAGGTAGGCAGATCACTTGCAGAAGATAGAACTGGAGATCAAAATGTTAAGCAAAATAATCTAGACTCAAAAAGCCAGATACTGTGTATTTCTCTCACATGTAGAATCTAGACATTTTATATATATATTTAATTACATGCCTCCAGTTATCGCCACACACACACACACACACACACACACATACACATGAAAGAAGGGGTTCTATTTGGGAAGAGAAAGGAGACCAGCTGGAAGAGAAGAGGAGGTAAAGAAGAGTTAACATAAGCAAACTGCATGATATACATACATGTATGAAAAAGCAAAGTACATGATATACATGTGTGAAAATGTCATAATGAGGGCTGGGGCTGTAGCTCAGCTGGTAGAGTGCTTGTAGAACATATGAAGTGCTTGGTTTGATTCCCAACACCCCATAATACCACGCATGGTGGTGATACCTACAATCCCAGTACTAGGGAAGTGGTAGCAGAGGATCAGAAGTTCAAGGTGATACTAAAATACATATCAAGTTTGAGGACGGCCTGGGCTACAAGAGACCCTGTCTCAAAAAAATGTCATAATGAAACCCATCATTTTGTACAATGAATACAATTACATACACACACACATCGCAAACAAACAAACAAACAAACAAACAAACAAACAAAAAAACAGTGGAGATCCCCAAAGCCAGCAGGACATAGAGAAACTGGATCATGCATAATTTCTGTCAAAGATGTAAAATATTACAGTAACTCTAGAAACAGTTTGAGTTTCTTCTAAAACTAAACATGTAATACCATAAAGTCAATCCCTGCAGGCTTGGGCATTTATCCCAGTGAAATAAAACTTCCTATAAACACCTATAGAGGAATGTTAACAGTAGCTTTATCGATAACAGCCCCAAACTGAAACCAGTCCAGATGCCTTTCAGTTGTGTTAAGACAAATTGGCCACTGCTCTACCATGGAATGCCACTCAGCAATAAAGAGAAACTACTGATCCAGGTAGAGTCCTCATAATTCCCCCAGAGAACTGTGATGCATGTTAAACAGGCAACCCTCCTAAAGGCCATATTTTGCATGATTTCACTTATCCAACACCTTTTAATAACACTTTTGGCAAAGTTAGTGCAGCAATAAAAGAGCAACAGGGACTCCTGGAACATGGGGAACACCAATAACATGACTCTGAAGGACACCAAAGCCTACAGATGATCAATCTGTACAGGACCCAGACCACAGACATACACAATCTGGGAAATCTAAATATGTCTAATCCTATCAATATTAGTCTCTCTAAAACTTTAAAAAAATTATTTATTATGCCAGGTGTGGTGGTGCATGCCTTTAATCCCAGCACTCGGGAGGCAGAGGCAGGCAGATCTCTGTGAGTTTAAGGCCAGCCTGGTCTACATAGTGAGTTCCAGGACAGCTGGGGCTACAGGGAGACCCTGTCTCAAAAAGACCAAAAAAAAAATTATTTATTTTATGTGTATGTTGTGTCTGCATATATGTGTATCGTGTACATGTAATGCCTGAGAAGGTCAGAAGAGGGCATCTGATCCCCTGGAACTGGAGTTATGGAGTTAAGAGCCAGTGCTCTTAACTGCTGAGCCACCTCTCCAGTCTCAATATTAGTAGTATCTTGGCTGTGACATCTGTTAAGGGCTGAGGTGTGTCCTTTCCAAAATTAAAAATCTTGAAATCCTATCCACCAGCACCTTAAGGGTGTGACTAGATTTGGAGAGAAGTGGTGGTTTTTTTTGTTTTTGTTTTTGTTTTTGGTCTTTCTGAGACAGGGTTTCCCCATAACCCCAGCTGGCCTGGAACTCACTATGTAGACCAGGCTGGCCTTGAACTCATAGAGATCCTCCTGCCTCTGCCTCCTGAGTGGGACTAAAGGTGTGTGCTACCATGCCTGGCTGGAGAGAAGATCTTTAAGAATAACGGAGGTGATGCTGAAGTTCTCATGAGAGGAGGTGAAGACACAGACACACAGGGATGACCATGTGGAGACACAGGGAGAAGATGGCTGCCTACATGCCAAGAGAGCACTGGGAGACACCAACCCTGCTGAAACCTGGTCTCAGGCTTCCAGCATCTAGCACTGTGAGAGATCCTTGTCTGCTGGTCAAGCCTTCAGTCTGTGGGGCTTTTATGGCAGTCTATGTTACTAGCAGAGGAAGCTGAACAAAGCACATTAAGAAATTTCCCTGTACTTCCTCAACCACATGTGAGTCTACTGTCAATACAAAAATCTTAAATAAATAAGAATAGGGAGGGATGGGGTGGCGCATGCCTTTAATCCCAGCACTTGGGAGGCAGAGGCAGGCGGATCTCTGTTAGTTCAAGGCCAGCCTGGTCTATACAGTGAGTTCCAGGACAGCTGGGGCTACAGGAAGACCCTGTCTCAAAAAGACAAACAAACAAACAAACAAAAAGAATAGGGAGTAAGAGCCTCCCATATTCTATTGCACTGCATGGTAGCTACAATAATGATACTGTATTACAGAAAAGCTAGAAGGAGCTGGAGAGATGGCTCAGTGGTTAGAACACTGTTCTTGCAGAAGACCTCGGTTTGAATCCCAGCACCCACATGGCAGCTAACAACTGTCCGTAACTCCAGTTCCAGGGCATCCAACAGCCTTTTCTGTCCTCTGTGGGCATTGCACGACATGGGTGCACCTACCTACATGCAGGCATAACACTAACACACATAAATTTTTAAAAATGTATTTTTTTAAAAAAGTAAAGCTAGAAGAAAAGATTTTTAATCTTTTCATTATAAAGAAATGATATATGTGGGGCTGGAGAGAGCTCAGTTGTTGATGTTTTGGCAAAGGATGTGGGTTTGGTTCCCATCACCCACATAGGAGCTCATAACCATTCATGACTCAGTTCCAGGGGATCCAATGCCTTCTTTTGGCATCCATAAGCATCAGGCATGCACATATACATGCATGCAGGTCAAACACCCATACACATAAAATAAATGAAAAAAAATTTAAAAGAAATGTTATGTGCTAGGCTGGGATATAGCTCAGTGAATGGAGTGCTTGCTTAAGCATGAGGACTTGAGTTTAGTTCTTCAGCACCCCATGTAAAAAGCTGGGTGAAGTGTGTATTATCTGTAACCCCATGGAGACAGGTGGATTCTGGCTGCTTGCTGACCAGCCAGGCTAGCTGAAACAGAAAACCCCCAAGTTCAGGGAGAGACTGTCTCAAAATAAATAAATAAATAAATAAATAATAAATAAATAAATAAATAAATAAATAAATGAAGTGTAGAGCCCAAAAGGAAGATACCCAAAGTTGACTTCTGGCCTCCTCATGAGTATACATGGGGGAGCATATTACACACATGTGGACATATATGGATACAGTACATACACATACACACAAAAATGCATGTTGGAAGAGCTAGCTTTGTTTAACATGATTTAAACATACATGTGTCAAGCCATCAAATGGCAGCCCATATGTACGTATCTTTTATTTATTTATGGTTTATTTTAGAGACAAGGTCTCACTATCTAGCCCTGGCTGTCCTGAAACTCACTATGTAGACCAGGCTGTCCTGAAGCTCACAGAGATTCTCCTGCCTCTGCCTCCCGAGTGCTGAGTCTAAAGGTATGCACCATCACGTATGGAAGTATGATTTTTTTTTTTTTTGGTCTTTTTGAGACAGGGTCTCCCTATAGCCTCAGCTGGCCTGGACCTCTCTATGTAGACCAGGCTGTCCTTGATTTCACAGTGATCTGCCTGCTTCTGCTTCCTGAGTGCTGGGCACAGTTCTTATACACCAGTTAAAAAATGGCCGGGCGTGTTGGCGCACGCCTTTAATCCCAGCACTTGGGAGGCAGAGGCAGGCATATCTCTGTGAGTTCAAGGCCAGCCTGATCTACATAGTGAGTTCCAGGACAGCTGGGGCTACAGGGAGACCCTGTCTCAAAAAGACAAAAAACAAACAAACAAACAAAAAAACAAAACTAGAAGCATCAAGTATGAAATGGTTCAGCATGTGTGCTTGTTCCTTAATAATTCTGTCCAAAAACCATTAAGTAGGGGTAATTAATTACAGATGACATTTGCACATGGGAGCAGAGGAGAGCCAGTGTGGGTGGTCAGTGTCCACAGGGCGGGGAGGGCATTTACACATGGCCCAAAGGGACACTGATGTAACAGTAGGTAAATAACAGACAATGATGAAAACTGGGCCTTATTGTTCAAGAAATAGTCACAAATATAGAAAAGAGACAGCTAGAATTGTTGCTGTGATAATGGGTGGGAACTGCAGTGTTAAGAATTCAGTTTTCAGTATGGAGACATGCATATGCTTAGGTACACACACACCTACACATGCTCCCTGGCTATCTCCACTAAGAGCACTTGGAAGCCACACACTTCACAGCACTGAGTCCAATGAGTGCCCAGATCTTGGTCCCTGAAGACACCATCTGCAACTCTTGGAGAAGGGGCTGGTTCAGGGCTGACTCTGGGGCTGGAGAATCTGAGGAACCAGATTCTTGAGGTGCCAGAAAGGAACTGCTCAAAATAATGATCAGGACCCATACAAAAGAATGCAGAAGTCATCTTGAAGGACTCCCACTAGCTAAGCTGAGCATCACAGTCAGTAATGAAGGTGCCAGACCCCAAATAGCAATATTATAACATGGTGAATAAATGGGGAGAAGAAAGCCTTTGCACTGGGCCAGCAAGATGATTCAGTGGGGTAATGACACTTGCCACCAAGGCTGATGACCTGGGTTTGATCCCTGGAACCCACATGGTAGAAGGAGAGGTGTCCCAATAGTTATCTTTTAATCTCCACACGAGTGGTGGCATACACGCATACACATACACACACACACACACACACACACACACACACACACACACGATAGACAGAAAGCCTTTACACAGGAAAATCCTAGTTAATAAAAGAAATCAACAGTAATAAAAGCCACCTAATAAAATGATGGGATCAGTGACCATCTGACCACCATTATAACTGTTAACTGACTCCACCAAGAAACAGAGGATGCTAGAATTCACAGGTGAAGGTTGGGTGAAAAACAGGGTGTTTACCTGATATTAAAGTCTCTCCTCATGAAACAGTAATTTGTTACAAAGGGAAAAGTAACTTTACTGTGGGATGGTTCATCCAACACCACCTGACTCAAGCAATGAAAGTGACCATCATCAGCAAGAGGATGAACTACTGTGTCCCTTAAGGGTGAAATCAGGAATAGTCTGGGTTGTCCCTGCCAAAGACTGATACCAATCACAACTAACCATCAGACAATCTCAAATAGAGGGACAATCTATACAAGAGCCACCTGTAATTCTGGAAATGTTGTGGCCCTGAGAAGCAAAGACAGACTGACAGGAAATGGAATGCCACCTTACTTTTCTGTTGCTGGGATAAAAAACATGACTATGACAACTTATAGAAGGAAGAGTCTATTTGGCCTCTGGCTGCAGAGGGATGAGTCCATCACGGCAGGAGAAGCATGGCAGAAGGTGGAGCAGAAACTGAGTGCTCACATCTTCAAGTAGAAAGCAGACAGACAAACTGGAAATGGGCAAGGCTACATAATCTTAGAGGCCACCCCAGTGACAGCAAGGCTGCACCTCTAAAACCACCACCAACTGGGTCAAATCCAAATACTTGCAGCCTATGAGGGATATTCCTCACTCAAATCATCACAATTCTCAACATTTGAGACATCTGTAAACGTAGGGAGGGGCCTTCAGAGCCTCACCAGGATCCTGAAATTTCCAGCAATTTCCCACTTTATCTTTTTTTTTTAAATTTATTTATTATTTATTTATTTATTTTAATTAAAAGAAGCATTTCATTACAAATGAGTCTATTGCCTGCATGTGTGTAAGTGCACCTGTGTCATGCAGTGCTCAAGGAGATCAAAAGGCGTTGGATCCCCTGGAACTGGTGTTACAGGCAATTGTTAGTCTCCATGTGGGTGCTGGGAATCTAACCCAGGTCCTCTGCAAGAACAGTCAGTGTTCTTAACCACTGAGCCATCTTTTCAGCCCCTTTTCTCC